TGACATAGCACCTGCCTGACAAGCACAAAGTCCTGAGTTTGATTCCTGGTACCAAAAAGAAGCAAATGGAGTTCAACTCCCCATTCAACTTATTAAATACCCAATCATAAGGAAGTTAGTTCTCTGAGCCTCAGTTTTGCCAACTATAAATTAGGGACACCATTGTCTGCCTAGAGACTTAGTGATAGCATTAACGTAAGACTCCAAGCCTGGCACCTGGTACCCAGCAGGGTCGCACAGACTTCCTGTTGCCTGTGTCATCAGTAGGCGAGGCTGATCCTTCCCTGCAGCTCTCCACTTCTTGGCGCGTGTGCCCAGAGACACTTGGTGATAAGGGGGAGACCAATGTCGAGAGGGAGAGGAGTGGTTTAGGGGACTGTCCAGGGAAACCCTCCCTGGGAGGGTTTTGTTTTGTTTTGTTTTGTTTTGTTTTGTTTTGTTTTGTTTTGTACTGGGAATCAAACTCAGGACCTTATGCTTCCCAGGCAGGCACTGTGCCACTGATATCCCCCCAGGCTTGGGGCTGTTCTTACCCAAAATGATATTAAACCTTTTTTTATAATTTATAATTCAATCCATTCTTCCAGTATGAGATTTGCAGCAGCTTGTATCACCACACTTTGCAGATTACAGAAATGGTGTTACAGAACTCACTAAACTTTAAAGAAGAATCTGAGCCTTGACTCTGCGTAACCTAAACATGGTCATGAGCATGTTATTTAACTCCTTGGTCTTTCTGTTTGTTTGCCTGTGAAGTGGAACCAGCAGGGCCTGCATTAAGATTAGCTTTGGAGTAAGCCAGGTTGGTGATCAATGCCTATACTCCCAGCAATTGAGAGGCCAAGGCAGGAGGATTGGCATGAGTTCAAGGCCACACTGAACTCCTTAGTGAGACTCTGTATCAAAAGACAAAACAACAACATAAAAAAGGGCTAGAATTGGTATGATGGAAATAAACGAAACAGTGTATTTGAAAACCTTTTGAGACAAAAAAGCCCTAAATAAATGCAAGATTTGATTCCTTTGACATTGCCAATTATGATAGCAGCAATTCTCAAATATGCCCAGTTAATTAACCACCTTGACTAGATCTGCGTCAAATGTTTACTTTAAATAGGACGCCCTGCGTACACCTGGGCCACCCTTTATCTCCAGAACACTACAGTAAGTAGAACCCAGGGTCAGCTACGTAATCATGTTAACCTGAGCCAAGTAGTTATTAAGGAACAAGTTTCTGCACAGCAAAATATAAAACATTTTAAAATCAGCATCCATTTGAGATTGTTGGCTCCCCTTGCCTGCCCCTCGTTAGCTGGGTAATCAGGAGTTGGCCGTGTTCTCCCATCCAGCAGCTCATGTTGCATATTGACCTGGAAAAGGTAAAATGATGGCAGCATGTATGTTTCCCACCAGTCACCTTAATGAGTACAAGAAAGCATCCTGTCACCTTGCCACAAGGTGTGGGAGTTAAGAATGACTCCCCCTCAGTGAAGAACGGAAGCATGTTCTACAAGGCAGGCAGAGTGCAGAACCCGGACTCGGGTGGTAGCAGCAAAGTTTGTCAGTCTCCGTGAATCCAGTCCCTTCACGAAAACAGCTAAGGCCACTAGAACTGTGGCTGCCAGGGTGGGCAGAAGAGGAAAGTAGGGAGTTGAAAAGATTTACTTGCGTAGCGATGTGAATGTGTTAATAATCCTTGATTTATGACAAGGTTCTGTTCTGATAAACCCATAGTCCGTTGAAAATAATCGTAAGTCAAAAATGCTTTTAATACATCTAAGGTGTACTTCCTAACCTAGCATCACAGGACCCGGGGAGCCTCAGTGGTTTCCCATGTGTCAGCGGGGCTGCTGCTGCCCAGCATCCTGAGAGAGTTCCATGCTGCCAGCCAGGGAGAGATCTGCTGTGTCCACCAAGGGACAGCCAGGGAGAGAGCTGCTGTGTCCACCAAGTGTGGTTCCCTTCTGTGTCACGCCAATGTGGGAAATTGCAAGTCAAACTGTTGTAAATTGGGAACTGTCGTACCTAGCAGCACAGAGTTGTGTGCATAAAAACAATTGAGCCTGGCACTGTAATCCCAGCACTAGGGACTGAGGCAGGAGGATCTCTAGTTCCAAGCCAGGGCAGGCTACATAGCGTTACCCTGACTCAAACAAACAAATGCTTGTAATCCCAGCACTCTAGGAGTCTGAGGTAGGAGGATTGCAAGTTCCAGACCAGCCTAAATAATTTAGCAAGACCCTGCCTCAAAATTAAAATAATAATAATGTTTAAGGGTTAGGGATCTAGTTTAGTGGTAGAGTACTTGCCTAATTGGTGAGGCCCTGGGTCCAATCTTCAGTAGTGCAAAGCAAAAAACTTTAAAGCCACTAGATACACAAATACCAAAACCCCATGGGCAGCATTCACACCACGCAGATGGTGACAAGCCATCCCCACAAATGCTTCAGTAAGCACATGTGGCTCAGAACAGACCAACCATGACACAAGGCCTGCAGGAGTCAGCTGCCAGGGAGGAAGCACAGGGAAGTGAAGGGAGACCACAGAGCTGACCATTAGAGAGGTGGCCGGGTGGGGGCCAGCCTGAGCCCCATAACTCAAACCCAACCAGCTGCTCACTTTCAGGACAGGGTCCTCAGCAGAGACAACCTGCTCAGAGTAGAATGAGCAGGCCAGAGACGTCAGCTAGGGGAAGGGAAGGCCAGAGTCAGAAAGGGAAAGCAAACCAGGAAATCCCAGAAGGCAGCCGCCCTATTTTTAACACTAAGCAAAAAACAACACGGACAACAAACTTTACATAAACTAACATAACGAGATGCAAAGTGGTAATGCAGACCAGAATTAGAAGAATTCCAAGATAGGCGAAGACCTTATAAAATAACTCAGATAAAAGACATAATGTTCTCAGAACATTTCTCAAAAGCAAAAAGCAAAAGAAACACAAAAGCAAGTGGATTAATCCCTTTCAACAGCGAGAGTCAAAAGGAGAACAGTTGATAATTCTTTTGGAAAACAGAGGAAAAAGAAACGAATATTGAAGACGTGATGAGCAGATGTAGCTCTCAGATAACAGGAGTCCCTGAAGAAGGAAATTAAGCAACAGGGCAGGACAAACACTAAAAACTGTACTTCTGGAAAACTTTCCTAATTATAAGAAAAAACATCAAATTACATTTTAAAAGAACAGACAGCATATTTAAGAACTTGAGCCTAGAATGATAGATACCAAGTATGTCATCTTCTAGGAGAATTACTGAACTTTCCATAGACATCATAGTAAAAAAATCAAGTGACTCTTAGGGGGAAAAATTAAATTCTCATCAGGCCTTTGACAGTAGCTCTTTGTGCCAGAGGAAATAGAGCAGCTATTGGATACTAGAGGCGAGTTAGGCTTACTTGCGAGTATTTTTGGGTAGTGCCTTGTCAGTAGTGGAAACAAGAATCCTACACATGTCCAGAGGAAAACAGCGATCTAGGAGCCACACAGGAAGGGGGCGGAGGGTTTGCACCTTCAAGAGATCTTAGAAGAATTTTAAACAGCTACTATAGCTTAGAGTGACAACATACAAACACGTGACCTACCCTCTCGGTGTATGAGATTGAATTCACAGAAATTCACAGTGTATGCTTTCCCCATGTCCATATTTTTCTTATTTTTAGAAAAAGCGCATCATTTCCAGTTAAAGGGATTTTGTTTCTTAATTGTTGGGCTTTGTTTAAAAAAAATTTTTTTTAAATATTGTTGGGCTTTGAGTGACTCAAATCTGTGAATGGACAATTTAACACTGCTATCATATACATTGTATACAGTGCAGTTCTATTAGAGATGATACAGACATAATTATTGTGCATGTCAATTGAAACCTTGCAGATCTCCTCTCTGAGTTGGTTGATAACAGAGACAAATACTGAGTCTATCATTGAGGAAAATCTGAACAAAACAAGCTGCACAAAAAACTGCATCTTTTTCTTTAACACATTCTTGTTTTTGGCTTTGGTTTTTGGTTTTTGTTGTTACTTTTTTTTCTTTTAAGACTGGGCCCTGAGGGGCTGGGGATTTAGCTCAGCGGCATAAGCACCTGCCTTGCAAGCAGGCAGTCGTGAGTTCTATGTGAGTTCTATCCCGATAAAAAGGAAAAAGACGGAAAAAAAAAAAAAAAAGACTGGGCCCTGCACTTAGGTGAATAAAAAGAAGAGCAACTGCAAAAGACCAGTAAACAAGCCCAGCGTGGTGGCCCAGGCCTGTAATCCCAGTACTGGGGAGGCTGAGACGGGAATCACTGGGGGTTCAAGGTCAGCCTGGGCTGCATAAGGAGTTCGAGGTCACTACATCGTGAAACCTGCCTCAAAATAAACTCAAACCAAAACCAATAAAAAAGACCAGTAGACATGTGAAGAGTTGTTCAGCCTCACAAATAGTCCCAGAATGCAGGGAGAACAACAGTAACTTACAGTGTTTCCCTCTTCACCTTAGACTAATTTTGGAAAATTCTTAACATAAACACTCTTAGCACAACCATGAATTCCTTACAAGCTTTTGAAAGTAATCTAGAAATATTTACTAAAATTAAATATTTTTATATCCTTTAATCCTTTCTCACTCCTGGGAACTTCTCACAGGGAAAGAAAAGCACTAACACACAAGTACATATGTATAAAGATACACGGATGTGTAACATATGTATTGTGTCATAGTTTGTAGACAGCAAAAATTGAAATACCGTAAGTGTTCTTTAAGCAGTATATCTATGTTATGAAACTTTTTCAAATTTTGAAAAGAATGGATTTCATCTCCATGCACTGCCTAATAAGGTTAATATGTTATACTAATTATTTAGTGAAAAAAAGCAGTTTACAGGGTAAGATGCTTGACCTTCTTCATTTAGAAAGGAAATGAAAAACTTCTTACAGTAAATGTATGTTATTCTGGGTAGGATTACATGGGATTAAAGTAGATAATTCTGGGGCTGGAGATTTAGCTCAGTGGCATAAGTGCCTACCTTGCAAGCACATGGTCGTTAGTTTGATCTCTGGTACTGGTCATGAGTTCGATCCCTGGTACCGATTTAAAAAAAAAAAAAAAAGAAAGTAGGTAGTTCTTTACATAATTGCATATTGTTTGAATTATTACAATGAACATGTACTGGGGCTGGGGATTTAGCTCAGCGGCATAAGCGCCTGCCTTGAAGTGTGTGGTCATGAGTTCGATCCCTGGCACTGATAAAAATGAAAAAGACAAAAAAAAAAAAAAAAAACAATGAACATGTACTTTGTATGTGTATGTGTGTTTTTTTTAATACCAGAAGTGGCACTCAACCATAATCCCAGTACTCTGGGAGACTGAGACAAGATCACAAATTCAAGCCCATCCTGGGCAAGTTAGAGACTTAGTGAGATCTGTCTCAAAATATAAAATAAAAAAGTGCTGGGGATGTAGCCCAGTGTGGAGGTCCTGGGTTCAGTTCATAGTACTGAAGAGAAAAAAAAACTGTATCGTAACATCCCATGATAAATGGTACTAAACATATGAAAGAATTTTCTTTATCGTCTTTTAACTACCAAGTACTGAATTAAAACAGTGTGACTCATAGGTGTAGAATGTTCAGCAGTGATATTTTAGTTCACCATCGACTGACATCTGTTTGCCCCCTTCCCCACAGTATTTTCATTCTGAGACTGCACCAGGAGAGCTCGCCCCATCTCAGTTTGGGATCCACACTGGTGCCGGGGAAAATTCTAGTGCGGTGCTTGCAAGCTCAGGCCCTTCTCAGTGAGACCCTCCTTACTGTGACTTCCCTAGGCTAAAGTGTATGCCTGTTTTTTTCCACTTCTGATAGTCAGAAAAGATATTGACCCCAAAAGGACCTCCTGGATTTCTGCTTCAGCCTTCCCATTTTAAAGATGAAAAATTTAGGACCAAGCAGAATGGGGTGAGGCCTGGGACCGAAACCCACTCAACCTGCTGCAGTCCATGCTTCCCCCCCGCCCCTGTCCTCTCAGACATGGGCTGGCTTTGCCCAGTCGGCTGGTGTACAGTGCCTTTTCCCACCCGTCCAAAGTCTTTTTCATGCACATTCAAAACTGAAGCCACCACCACTGGGAACCCAGATTCTTTAATCGCCCAGCTTCTGCTCGCTCATTTGGGGCTAACGAACCTGAGTGGTGGTGGGTGCTGCCAGCACCCAGTGATTTCTTCACAGGCCCCAAGCATTCCTCTTGGCCTGCTAGAAGGGTCACACCACACACCAAGAAGGACGTGACTAATAAAGAATGTAACTTCAGAGACTGCAAGTCCAGACAGCTTCTAATAAACATTTAAACAGAGGTCAGTCATGTTTGCCTTTGTGAGGAGAAAATATGCAGTCTGTGGTATGAGTGGGAGAGGTTAGAAGGGAATCAATCTAAACATGAGCTTCCTCCCTTCATAATCCCTAAAGGTTTGTGGCAGCAGCAGTCAGTTGTAATATCCTGGAAGCCTTTTCATATGCACAGCCCGTAGCTGGGTGTAAGCCAAAAAGAGGAAGAGGTCTGTGAAAAACAGGCAATTCCAGAGTGATGACCAAGCACATTGAAAACTAAGGTGGAGGATGCTGAGCGAAAATTCCCCAGTCTGCAGCCAGGAATGTTCCAGAAAGTCTCCAAGACCCACTTGAAGGACCCCTATTGGGATCTTGACCTCCGGTGCTGACAAAAGGCGGACGTTTTGCAGAGGAAATGGGTGTTGACTTCCAGAAGAGGCAAGATGAGGTGGGCCAGATGGCATGTGAGCATCCTCAGCCCTCTCAGGCGCTTCTGAGAACACTGGCAGGGTACGGGTGGGAACTGAATGGTGGGCACTGGCGTCGACATCCCTTGGCAGGGAGAATGAATGCAACAGTCATTTTGTAACCAAAAATACTTCTTTGCTGCTGCGGATCTAACCTCCTTTAGCACTTCCTTCACTTTATTTGTCTTCAGGTTTCTTGGTGTATGTTGGCGGAAGGGAGGTAGATAGGACTGGATCGCCTCTGGTCGAGATTAAGTAAAAATATAAGAAAAATAAATATTACTCAGAAAGCTTTAACTGGCAGGAAGGGGCTCAGGATTGGAAGATATGATTTTGATACACACTAGTATAATCTTCATGTATCTAAACTCTAAACATATTCAAACTCTTTAGTATGTCCACTTGCGTTGTTTTTGGCCACTGCCGTGCAGCCTGGAGCAGTCAGGACCAACGTGGGTGGAAACCACAGGGAGTGTCAGTTCCCCTCCTTTACCCTTAGGTGGGAGAAAATAACTCACTGTGAAATTACAAGTAATCCTGTACTAAAGTTTTGACATTTGTGGTAGCTTTCCATCACTGTCAGCAATGTCTGAGGTCATCCATAGATACAGAGAAAAGCCTGCTGGCTCACAGTTTTAGAGGGTTCAGTCCATGGTCGACTGACCCAGTTGCTTTCCAGCGTATGTGGCAGCAGCACAACATGGTGGGGAGGATGTGTGGCAGCAGAACTACTCACCTCGTGGCTGGGATGCAAAAAAGGGAACAGGACTGGAAGGGACTGGGGTCCCATTGTGCCCCCCAGGGGCACAGGCTCAGTAACTGGAAGAGCTTTTCTGGGTCCAGCTTCTTCAGGTTTCCACAGCCTGCCAACTGTACCATGAGCTGGAGACCAGGGATTTAACCTTTGGGGCACACTTGAGATCCAAAGTACAGTATCGGGTGCTTTTGCAACCAACGTATGTTCATTTGCAAACCGAAAATTGAGAGAGTACAGTCATTTGTGTGTTGGGTCTTTCATTCTTGTGACCACCAGGCCCCATAGTTAGCTCTAAGAGAGTGGGAAGGCCTGTGTCAAAAGCTTAGGGAGAAAACTGTGGGAACTATACGGGAGGTGGGGGTTGTGGGTCAGACCTGCCCTGGAATCCTGGCCCTGCTTCTGCTGAGCTCTGTAACTACCCAAGTGATTTAACTTCTCAGAGCCTCTCCTTCCCCGGCTGTTTGCTAGGGTAATAAGCACAGACACTCATGGGATTCTCATGAGAGTTCTCTGAGATATATTGTACGGAAGAGCCTGCCCTGGGCCTGGCATACAGTAAGCTCAGTAAATGGTGGTGAAGCAGTATTAGTGGTAATACTTATTATTATTAAAGAAAATAACAGCATGAGAGTGGTAGGAAGTGCTGCAGGAGACAGCTAGGAAGATTTTACATAGTTTAACTTGCGAGCTTTCCTTCCTTGTGCTGCATTATTTTTAAAAATTATATCTCTTTGGAGAAATTGGGAAATTCCCTTCCCTTTGCATTTATATTCTGGTGCAGTTCTAAAGACTGAAGCTTCAGAACTCATCAGAACGCCACACCCCAACATTTGCACTAGCCTTGGAGTGTCAGGGTAATTATTCTGTCAGTTATTTGACTTTTGAAAGTGCACCTACCTTGAAGAAGCTCTGTAAAAGAGGGCCGTGTTAATGTGTAACATGGAGATAAGCAAAGCACTGCTCTTTTTTATTATTATTCTTTTTTCATGGCTGTTCAACTGGAAAACCAAAAGGGTTCTATTTGCATCTCATCAAGCAGTGTTGAAAAGTGGGGGAGAAATGGCTCTTGCTAATGAAGTACAGTACATGGAAAATTTTAGCAACACAAAATGCAATGAATCACCTGAAATTTGTTTAAAGAAATCACAGGACAGTATAAACCTGCTTGAAGAAATGATGCTGTTCAACAAGCCAGCAAAGTAGAATACTCTGGAGCCGAGCTGAGCAGACACATGCTGCTTCTGTGGATGGAACAAATGCACTCACGTGTTTAGACAGCGCCTCACTTAGTCCACACAACAAAAGTCACCTTCGCTCTGGAGAGCTGTGTCCAGGACCCAGAGAAAGAAGCACCTACAGCAGCAGGCACTGAGTTGTGGCAGGGAGCCAGTGACCCCAAGCTGGCTCCTAGGTTGCAAATATGGGTGGGGCTGGACCTCTCAGGCCCTAACAGTGTGACTGGGGACTTCCCGATGTCAGAGAAGCCTCCTGGTTATCATCCAGGTGTGCCTCTGAGGTGCCCACCAGTGCCGAGGGCTGTGTTGGTCCCGGGCTGGCCAGCCCTCCCTGGACATGGGTTAGGACGGTGTAGTAAAGCTAGCTTTTCACATCTGCAGGAAAATTCTAGATTTATATCACTGGCCCGTGCAGGATAAGGGTGTCTTGTGAAAGGGGACAAACAGAAACCAATCATTAGCATTTAGAGCTCCAGAAACTGTGCTGAAGGCTAAGAAATGAAAAGCCAACACTGGATTTTACCATTTTCCCATCAGCAGTGAGCACTTTCCTTGTATCCTGGCTAATAAATTTGTTGAAGCATAATTTTAGGTTACCTACGTGGCACAGCAGCTGGAGGCCTGGTTCTAGTACTGTTTGATTTTTTTTTTTTTTTTTTTGTCCCAGAGCTGCCTTGTATGAGCCTTGTGAGTGTCAGCAAGTTACTTGATCTTTCTGTGCCTCAGTTTTCTTCTCTGTAAAATGGGGAACTGCATTAGCTACTCCCCCCAGGCATGTTAAAAGGGTCTCACAGGTAAATGCCACAGTGCAGTCAGCAAACACATTGCTGCTCTTTTGATTATATTAGCTCTGGTGGGGGTTGGAGCAGAAGTTGGTTAAGGGGAAAAACTGACACGAAACAGGATAGCAGCATATGTGGTGGAAAAGAATCGTGAACATCATGTAGTCCAACTTCCTCCACAACCAGAAAAACAAATCCTATAGCATTTGAAAATCATTGCTTCAAAATCATAAATAACAGCTGCCATTATTGAATGCTCACTGTGTGCCAGGTGACATGTGTCACAGGAATCCCACAGCTCCATGTGCAGCTAGCCTTCGCATCTTACAGATGGGTAGGTGGAGGCTCAGTACCTTTCCCAGGCTCACCCAGGTCTGAACCTGGGTGAATCCAGAAATGACGTTAACCACACAACAGCTCCTTTCCCTGTGCATTTCACTTTCCATTGTATTCCTGGAGACAGAATTCAGTTGAAAGCTGCACGCCAGCATTTCTATTGGATCTGGAGCAGCAGAATAATTGTTCTGTCAATTATTCGACTTTACAGTGTATCCAGTTGCTTCTTGGCCTTTTGGCTAAGATCAAGTGTCTTTCCCTTGATGAATGTGTACAAAAGGAAGACTGTTTTAATGTGTTCTTTGGCTTTATAGAAGCAAATATATAATATTTCTGTTACATGATTTATTCTGCTTTGTTTCTTTCATTTAAATCCAGAGCACCATATTTTGAAAATTACTTTAACCCTGTTGATCTTGAATAAATCATTTCCCAATACATAGAAGATTTTCTGTTTTTAAAAATGATCATATTAAGTAATAAAAGAAAATCCTTCTGTAATCTCAGCACTTGGGAGGCTGAGGCAGGAGAATCATTGCAAGTTCAAGACCAGCCTGGCCTACAAAGTGAGCTCAAGGCCAGCCTGAACTGCACACTGAGACCTTGTCTCAAAAAGAAAAAAAATTTTCAATTAGATTAAATTTGTAAATAAAATGAAGGATAAGTCCCTGGTCACTCTTGGCTATCATTCATAACACACAATTGTATCTTTTAAAAATTGGTTTATTTTTGGCTATCTTTAACTACTGATGCTTTGTTATCTTTTTTTTTTTTTTTTTTTTTTTTTTTTTTTTTTTTTGTCTTTTTCCTTTTTATCGGTACCGGGGATCGAACTCACGACTGCCTGCTTGCAAGGCAGGCGCTTATGCCGCTGAGCTAAATCCCCAGCCCCAATGCTTTGTTATCTTGATCTTAAAGTGCAGTCATTCTATGATAATGGTACCTCCCTCTGGAGTAACTAAGATCAAGACTTCTCATCCAAGATGTGACATCATTTCAGAGAGAGAAGATAGTTAACAGGTGTTTGCCTGCCCTAGCCCGCCCTTCCTTAAGTCTTCAGTGTTGGTTTTCAGACCCAATGCCATGCTTTACTGAGTCCCATGCCGCAAGGCTGATCAGACCAGTACCCCACACCCTGGAGCCATCTGCGCCCAGTAACACAAACCTAAGGTTCAGGCTTCTCAGCCTCTGCAGGGCTAACGACATAGCTCAGCAGGAAAGTGCTTACCTGGCATGTGTGATGGCCCGAGTTCAACCTCTAGAAACACAAAATGGTTAAAAGGACCTCCCTTATGCTAAGGGGTTCTGCAGTTAAATAATGAAGGCAGAGGAACAAGTAGGAGCCATGGGAAGAACTCCAGAACTCTGTTAGCGAGGTCCGAGGCACAGACTTCATGGCATTGTTACTGTTTTTATTTCAAGTCAGAACTCCTCATTTTACTGGTCCTAAGAGATGCATCCATGCCATTAGGGTTCTGCAGAGTTTCTACATCCTGTGAACCCCAGGCCCTCTACCTTTGCCTGGATGGCAGCTTCCACACGTGACACTGCAGGTGGCCAGTGCAAGCCTACCTGGTAAACCCTCATAAATAGAATATATCTCATGTCAAATCTGCCCTCTAGTGAAACTATCTGATAATTATGTATATAACATTTCATCCATTTTTAAAAACAAACAAATTTGCTATATTCACACCCCGGTTCTCAGGGCTAGTGAGATATTTGCGTATAGGGCCTTTGAGATGTGATTTAATCATAAGGAGCGAGCCCTCATAGATAGGATTAGTGGCCTGACAAGAAGAAAGAGAAGGGATGCTGCCTCTGTACCATACAGGAATGCAGCAATAAAGTAGCCATCCACATCCCATGCTGGCACCCTGGTCCTGGAGTTCCAGCCTCCAGGGCTATGAGAGACAAATCCGTCTGTTTAAGCCATCCCAAACTATGACATTTGTTATAGCAGCCCACACTGGCAAAAGGATGCTTGGTATTGAGAATTTTTTCATAACATTCCTGAATTCTCAGATTAAAATTCTAAAATTGAAGGGATGTTCCAGGTTTTTAAGATACGACCCATTTGGAGATCCATATGCAGCAGGTGTGTGTTCCAGACAAACACGAGTGGAAAGGGAGGTGTCTAAAGTCCCATCCTGGGACACACAGGTGGCATCTTTATGACCTGCCTGCTGCACTACTCTGCCTAGTATCTGCCACGTTTTTCAGATGTGAAAATTATTTGCACTTTTATTTTTGTGCTTGTCAGGTTTTTTAGCTGCCACATTGACCTCGTGTCTCCTTTAGAGGCATTTGGTTATTTTTTAAAACTTCATTTGCTTCACTGAAGCTTAGTGTGCTGTTTAATGGCTACCTTGCAGAGATCTCATTAGAAAAGCACTTTAATATATTACTTGGCAAGCAGACATGTGACAGTGTTCTAGTTCATTAGCTAAGGAAACCTCCCAAGCCTGGAGGAATGGACATTCCTGTGTGTACGGGGAGGATTCTATGCCTTCATCAGAGTCCAAGGTTTATTTTAATATATTTTAGGGGAGAAGAAGGAAGTACCCTAAACTGTGCAAGAGAAAAATTACACTGATTAAGAAACCAAATGAAACATTCTTAAAGAAGAAATACACTGCAGTTGCCTTTATGGCATTTGCTGAGTTCTTTGAAGGCAGAGTTCCTGTTAGAAAACAGGTCTCCTTCCCTGGCAGGTTCGTTAGGCAATCTCACCCCAGATCACAGATTACTTTTGGATGATCCTAATGAGGACAGACTCTTCAAAGCCATACTCATTTTACCATGAATAAATGGATTCAGGTCTTACTTGTGAGGATTTCATTTCCAACTTTGAATTTGCAAACAGTCAAATTCTTTCAAAGCATTGGGGTTCAGAAAAGGCACTGAGTATTGGGATTGTTTATTCTTAAAAGAAGATACCAAGATACCCTTTAGCAAAGCATTGGCTCAGAAATGTGACCAGCCAAGGCCCAAGCTGCGTGGATTTCCCCCACGTGGTACATTTCTTGTGGAATTCCAGCCAGATCTCCTATCTCTCCTACAGAACGTAGCCCGACCCTGTGGGCAGCCTGAGCGTGTGAAGTAGATAATGCTGTATTCAAGCACAACTTAAATTCTTAAAGCAGGGCAGTCCTTGGGTGCTAGTGACTGGTTTGTGTGCTTTTATCTGAGAACTGTGGGGTTTTTTTTTTTTTCTTTTAATCAAAAGACTTAAAAAGAAGCAATGTGAAAATGTGTTTTAAAAGAGAATTGTTGGAAGGGATAAATAGGACAGAAGGCCAGGGGTGTGTCGAGAGGGGCCTTTGTCCAGCCTGGCAAGAGAAGAATAGAAGAGGGAGATGTGGTTAGAACTCCCAACTCCAGCCTGGAGAGTCAGGCGCAGGTGGGAGGGAGGAGGAAGCCAGGCCTGCGGAACTCTCTTACTTGAATAAGCAGAATTCAGGAGCCGGGTGTGGCTGATTTTTACTCTCTAAAACCTTCAGAGGCAGTCAGGGAGGATAGCTTAGTCCTGGAGACCCGCTGGGCTACTCCAAGAGCTGTTCCCATAGTGTCGGGTAGCTCTGGGCATCTTGAGCATCATTTCCCTTCCCTCAGGGGGTACCCATGGCTGGGGGTAGGGAGCTTTACAGGGCACAGCTCTGAGAGCCACTGTGGATGAGTCTTCCTTGCTTGGTCCCCTTATTTCCTCTGCAGCCAGGCCTGCCACAATAGTAGCAGTGTGGTTCCCTGAGATCTGCAGGGAGACGGAGGCTGGCCTCTTCTGCTGGGCTGGGTTCTGGGACTGGGGGCTAGAACCTCAGCATGGGCTGTTAGAGGACCTGCACCCACCCACCCAAGGAAGAGAGAGAAGCTGTCTTCCCGTGTGTGTGTGTGTGTGTGTGTGTGTGTGTGTGTGCTGCAGCACTGCCACTTTCAAGGGGCCAAGGTTGTCTGGTGTACGTCTGAGTGACCTAGAGCAAGCCACACTGCCAGGCTTCGGGCAACCAGTTGTCTGTACAGGTGAAGAAGCGAAACCGGTCAGAGCAAAGTCTCGCATAGGTCTGCTGTCTAAGCATCCCTGCCTTGTACCTGCAGAGTGCTCGCAGGAAGCACTCCACAGTAGTTCATCAGAATCTCTGTCCAAAAGCTATGACAGTAGAAGGATTGTTTGTTAAACCCAAGCTGGAGCCCCAGAGAGTGGTGCCTGCCTGTAATCCCTGCACTCCAGGAGGCTGAGGCCAAAGGATCAATAGTTCAAGCCCGTCCTGGGCAGTTTAGCAATTAGGGAGACCCTGTCGGAAAATGAGAAATACCAAAAATGGGCTGCAAAAGTCCTGGTTCAATCCCTCGTACTGAAAAAAACAACAAGCCACAAATAACCTAGTGTTTCAGATCCCAAATGCATCAAAAACTGGCTTCAGTAAGACCTAGAGTAATGTATGTATCAGTGACCACTGGTTTGGGGCAAAATAAACTCTCGCTGCACTTTATGCTGGTCCACACACTTCCTCCAGCCAGACTTCCCACCACCATGCACACACACCAGCCCCCACAGCTGTACTCCCAGAGCCAGAGGTATGCGGTGTTACCTGGGCTTGCACAGGCAGAGCGCACCCTCCAGTGTACTGGCCTCTTCCTCAATGCCTTTATTTCTACAAGTCATTTAATACCCTGAAGCGGCTTATGTTGCACAGGACTGGGCAGGATTAAGCTCAGTTTTTCCATGGATCAAGAGCATGTATTTGGGGCATCCCTGGTGTCAGCCAGCTGGTGAGCTGGTTTGGGTTGCTTTAGAAAACAAAGGCTTTCTTATTGAAGCTTCTGTATTTGCATTTTGAGTGTTGCCTTGGGAAGGATTATGACGCAGGCCTGCAGTAAAAGCTCCCTGGTTATAAATGTGACCCAGTGTACCCACCTCAACTAACAGGAGGACATGTGGAAGAATGATTTGGGAGAGTTTTTACTTTTCTTCTGTTCCCAGAGGGATTTGTTAAATGTGATTTTCAGCAGCAAATGTCCTTTTTTGATTATTAGCCATCATGGAAATGCATAAACAGAATCATCATTAATATAATGAGCCAATCTGATTTTTTTTGAAGACTTGAGACAAAATAAACAGAGATAGAAAAATTCTATCAAATATGAAATAATAATCTTGTGTTCCTGTTTTTATATAAACAACCTCTTTTTCTAAAACAGCTTTGTGACTAGGACAGCATCACATGAGTCCAGTCCAGACCCGAAGGGGAAATGCCACCCTCTGGGACGACTTGCAGAAGAGCAAGGGAAGGACCTGATCTTCCTGTTGGAATCCTGTCGCCCCTAGTGCTGATGGCTCTTGCCCAGCCTCTGTTTTGTTGTAAGGAACCCTGAACAGCCTAGCATGTTAGAAATCTCAAACCGTCCCTCGATGTCCAATGAGGACCATTACCCAGGACATACATACCCCTGTGGATGCCACCACCATAGATGCTCAAGTCCCTTGTGTAAAATGATGTAATTTTTCTATATAACCTGCGCGATTCTCCTGTATACTTTATCAATAGTTCATATACTGCTCATGTTCCATATCGATGCAGTTTTTTCAGACATTTTTGATCTTTGGTTGGGTCTGTCACCATGGAACCTGAGGGTGTGGAGAGCTGGCCATGACTGGGAGCCGCCACCACAGGATGCCATGCAGTCCGCCTGACTTCTCTTTGCCGATCTGCTATCTCTGTCCCTTGGGCACATTCCAGCCCCACAAGTAGCCCAGACCCCAATGGGCAGAGAGACTTCCCCAGCAATCTAAATGTCTCCCTAGGTGTCCGAGACTCTGTCTCTAAAAACAGAAGGGGTGGCCAGAAGTTGTGGCACACATCTGTAATTCCAGCAGCAGGGGGCTGAGGCAGGAGGCCACTGTGAGTTCGAAGCCAGCCTGGGCCATAAAGTGAGTTCAAGGCCAGCCCGAACTGCACAGTGAAACTCAGTCTCAAAAAGACCTAAATAAGTAAATAAATCAGAAATACCCCTGGGAGAGCCCTGAACTCTAGTTTCTTTCTCAACACTGACACACAGTAACAACTCTAAGAAAGAAAGATTTACTTGGGCTCAGTGTAGAGGCTCAAGGGCCTCAAGGCACAAAAGTGGAAAAGCAGAAGAGATCAAGGAAACACAGAGGGAAAGGGACCCTTCCTGGCCACTTCCCCAGGGGCTACCTGCTTCACCAGACTCCACCTCCCAACCTAACATTTATCCATAAACGTGTTACCAGACTAATCCACTGATGAGCATCTTGCCCCGTGATCCAGTCACACGTGAGGCTTTGGGGAGACATTCAGATATAAACCCTGAGGGCCTAGGAGGAAGCTGGGGGCCTGCCCTGTGCTCAGGTGCCCACCACACCCCCTCACGCCAGCATCCAGATGACGGCTCAGAGCATTGCCCCACTCTGCACCGCAGGGCCTTCCTTGGAGCTTTGCGTGCCTTTCACGTCCTTCAGAAGCACCTATACCCAAGCTGGGCATGGTGTGCACACGTATAACCCTAGCACAAGGGAGGCTGAGGCAGGAGAATCGCTGAGTTTAAGGCCAGCCTGGGCTACATGGTGAGTCCAAGGCCAGCCTGAACGGCACAACAAGATCCTGTTTCAAAAAGAAAAGGAAGGAAAGAAAGAAAAGGAAAGGAAAGAAAGAAAAGAAAAGAAAGGAAGAAAGAAAAAGAAAGTGCAGTGCTTGTACCCAGAGGAGCCATTGAAAGGCTCACAGAATCACTTTTTTAAAATGTAGGGAAAATAGCAAATTAAGGATTGTAGAGAAAGGATTCGCCAATTCTGAGGGCCTTGGCGTATGTTCTGCGTGTTGCAGGATTTGCCCCTCTGTCCCTGTCCTTAGAGCATCTGCGCTTCCCTTCCCTTCCCTTGCAGCCTCCAGCTAAGCACATTCCCAGTCTTCTGGGTAGCAGTGCCAGTGAGCTCCGGGCTTGGCAGCTGAAGCCTTTCCTAGGCCGTTGCATTGCTGCTGAGGGAGAGGGAGGAGAGGGGAGATAAGGGGAGCCAGGGGGGGGGGTATTCTCCCCACCGTTCACCCCTGAAGAGAAAGTGTCTGGGTCCCCCTCATTTCCACCGCCTTCTGCTGTGTGGCCCTGTCTCTGGACAGCAGCTCTTGCTTATCTGTTGCCTGAGGCTTCCCCTTGCCCTGTTCCCTGGCTTGTCCCGCCCACTGTCTGTGCTATGGAAGTAGATAATGAAGTGCTGACATCAGTCCTGAGCTTGGGATTTAGGTTTTAAATGCTTGGGTATTTTCTTCTAAAGTCACTTCAGGCATCTCCAAATAACGATTCCTAGAGTTCTCCTTAATGTTTGGTTTGTATGATACCTACCTCCTTCCTTATCCTGTCAGTTCTCCAAAAAGAAGAGAGCAGCATTTTGGTTTTTTATGAACGAGATGTCATTTCTAGGGGTGTTTGGGAAGGAGGACACTCAAGGGTCTACTGAAGACATGCTAGTGTTGCACAAAATCACAGCTTCACATCCCAGAATCAGGTCATTTTAATACACTCCTATCTTTATATGGCAGTAGACACGGCATGGAGTCTCCTGCCCAGACACATCGTGGAGTGTGGGGCATTGTGCTGTAGGCCATCTGTACACCAGTTCTGGACAGCGGAGCTCCGGGATACTCCTGTGCAGCCTCCCACTTCCCCCAGCCTGTGTGGTGCCACCTTCCTGCCGTCTGCATCAGGGGCCTCATGCGTGGGGGATCTTGCAATGTTTGCTGTTTTTTGGCTTATTTGTCTTAGCGTAATGTCCTCCAGGTTGACCTTGCTGTGAAGTAGTTTTCATAGAAAACTAAGAAGGAAAACCCTCCATGTCTCCTCCATGAGTCGTGTCAGGCTACAGGTGTCTATGCGGTGGGAATCCTGAGAGTTACAGGATTCAGATAGCCTTCATACCGGGGTAAGGCAGCATAACAGGTGCAGGATGGCAGCACAGGGCCTGCCGAGAACGCGTCCATCATCAGCACTGCCAGTGCCTCCGTGGCCTCGAGGCTTTACACTATCAGTAAACATCCGTCTGGGAGGGTTTTGTGGAAATGTGTTCAGTTGAAGCTTCCCTTCGTTTTTTGGTTTTTTTCATTTAACCCTAATCCTTGGGGAGAAGACTTTATAACATAAAACAAACAAAAGATCTTCCTTATCCAAAAGAGCTTATCGAAGTAGAACTCTAGTGGATGATAGGGTAAGTTTAAAGATATTGTATGAGTTGCTTGCTACACTGTTAACCCAAAATTTTGTAGTCTGGAGGACAATAAATATCGTCTCAGTGCCAGAAATTTGGGAGCAGTGAACATCCCTGCCTCTCATGAAGCTCTAGTCAAGAGGTCTGCAGGGACTCGGTAGCCTGAACACTGGTTCCCACTTCGCTCTTGTCCCAAGGCCCCAGTCTCCCACACAGTAGCCCCTGTACCCTGAGCAGGCCATACAGGAAGGAGCAAGGAAAAAGCCACAGAGCCCTTCAGCATGTGGCTCAGAAGTCACACCGCATCACTTCCACCAGTCCATTCATAACTGTCACTAGACTAAATCACTTAGTCCAGGCCACATTCAAGGAGACCAAAATTAGACGCCACCCACCAAAGGAAGAGTTGATAAAGGGGATGAGAGACCACGGCAGCAGAAGGGAGGAGCAGGACCAGGACCAGCTGCTCTCCTGATGCCGGGGACTTAGAGGGTGTGTGTGTGGAGCAGGAGCACAAACATCGGTGGCCAGTAGGAGGTGCAGTGGGGCAGGAAGTGGGAACCACTGACCTTTCAGCCCAGAGAATCCGCTGGGAGCCAGGACTGCGGAGCAAAGAGAAAAGAAGAACCCAACGACCTGCTCAGGGTATTCACCAAAAAGCTTTGGATGTGTCCAGGAGATGTCTGACCTCTTACGATCCTTGCAGCACCATCCCCAGAAGCCAAGTTAGGGAATCAGCTGTAAGGAATACACAAGGTAACACTACTCAGCTGTAGAAAAGGGGAGATTTTATCATTTGCAACAACATTGATGGAACTGCAGAACATTATACTAAGTGAAATCAACCAACCACCGAAACGTAGATGTAGCATGTTTTTATTTATTGGAAAAATCTAAAACAGTGGAACATAAAGAAGCAAAGCGTAGCATAATGGTTACTCGAGGCTGAAGGGAGTGAAAGGAGTGGGATCAAAGCCTCAATTAGACAGGAGAAATAAGTTTTGTTTTGAGTGTATTATACAATGTGACAAGAGTAAAAGTAATTTAGCAGACCTTTTGAAATCGTCACAAAACTGTTTCACATGTGCACTCCGTGAGAAAATAAGTGTTTGAAATGATGGGTATGTTATTGGCTTGATAATTCTGCATTATATTCATAAATGCTAATGTCACTTTAAAACACACAGGAAGAGTGCAGCTCGTCTAAAGCTATGTCTGGGATTTCCGGAGCCTGCGGGGGAGGCTTCTGGGAAGGGCCGTGCCCTTGATCTGGGAACAGAGTGAATAAATGCTCCCGCTGTAGGGCTTTGTCCTCCTGTTTGTCAGCACTGAGCCTACACAGGGGCCTGGAGTCGGTTCTCTCTTGGAAACGCTCTGCCTCCGCAGGGAGCTGCTCCAAGTCCACAGTGGAGGGG